TATACAGTCTAAATTTCAAGCTGAATATGAGGCTTATATCATTATAGTATCATCTTGGCTAATATCATCTCTGATTTATTATCACTCTTTTAATTGGGTGATTGAGCTTGTCTTTTGCCATTTGATTTATGCTTTACTTGATCTTGATGAAGGGATTAACTTAAATTGTCTCCATGGACTTGTCAGGTGAGTGAGCCTAACTTCGGTCCTAGCTTTATGCTTTTGCGAACTTGTTGATGGAATTGACCTGAATTGCCTTCACGGATTTATCAGGTGAATGAGCATAACTTCAATCTTAGCTTTGTGTTTTGAGTGGGCTTGTTAAAGGAACTGACATGAATTACCTTTGTTGATTTGTCAGGTGAATGAGTATACCTTCGATCCTACCTTTATGCTTTGGTAGACTCGTTGGAGTAATTGACCTGAATTGTCACTACGGATTTATCAGGTGAGTGAACATATATCTTTGGTCTTAGTTTTTTTGCTTTAATAGACTTGTTGAATGAATTGACCTAAATTGTCTCCAAAGAATTGTCACGTGAATGAGTATACCTTTGGTCCTTGCTTTGTGCTTTGGCGGACTCATTGAAAGATTTGACTTGAATTGCAACTACGGACTTATCAGGTGAATAAGCATATATTCGGTCCTAGCTTTACGCTTTAGCAGGCTTGTTGAAGGAATTGACATGAATTGTCTCGACAGACTTATCTGGTGAATAAACATACCTTCGACCCTAGCTTTGTGCTTTGATGGACTTGTTGAAAGAACTGACCTGAATTGTCTCTACGGACTTATCAGATGAATAAGCATATCTTTTGTCTTAGCTTTGTGCTTTAACGGACTTGCCGAAGGATGCTTGCTAATGATTTATTCTTCAGACTTTTACTGAGTTAGTAACGAGATTTTCTATCCTATGCTTGGTGCTTTATCATTCTTGTTGATAATTGAATTCCCTTAATTCAGCACTGAGCTTTAAATGAACCTATGGGATAGCCTCTTCAGTCCTTTGCTTGCTATTTTGTTGGACTTATTGAAGAAGAAAATTATTTCAATATTTGCCTTATGATTGATCATAATTTTTTTGAATGAATATTGGGTTTTCTTTATTCCAACATGCCAAGCTCAGGTTGATGCTTTCTTGAGCCACGATCATTCCTTCGATTTTCCTTAACCTTTTAACTATTCAAGAAAATATCTTAGATCTAGTTCTCTTGAACTTATCAAGTTGAATATGCTTGAAACTTGACAGTCTTTGTCATCAGACAAGCATAACAAGTGCTTCTTCACTAAGACAATTTTTATGGCTTGTTGAGTGAAAAAAGCTGTCAACTATTTGGTCATATTTTGGTTTATTGAGTCCGACCTTTAGGACCTGTTTGAGTGTTAGACTTAGACTACAGGGAGTTTGTACTTCTTCAACTTAATAGGCTTAAGCTTATAGACTTAGAAGTCTCCTTTCTTATATCACAAGGTCTTGGAACTTGTATATTTAGGAATATTTTTGCTTCACTGTATATCAATTTTTAAGTGTGGATTATCTCTTGGATTTAATTTTAATCCATCAATCTATTTAGAAAGTCTCCTAGATTTGGATCGCATGAACTCATCAAATGGGATGACTTTGGGAACTAGACAACTCTCATCATTAGACTAATAAGATGGGAGTTCTCCTACTACGATTTTTTTATGGCTTTTCGAGTAATAAGAGCTTACTACTTCATTACGGCTGTTTTTATGTCTTGTTGAGTAAAGCGAGTTGTCAAAGACTCGACCATATTTTAGGCTTGTTGAGTCCGAGCTATTTGACCCACTTGTGTCATAGACTTGAGTTGTGTAGAACTTGCATCTTTCCAGCTTAACTTGTTAAAGCTTGCAAATCTCGAAGAGTTTTCGATTGAACCTTCAAGATCTTAGTTAACCAAAGAGAAGACTCTATCTTTTAAATTTTCACATATATTTTGCTTGATAGCAAAATTATTAAGCAAATATTTGAGGATTTTAGCATTAAGGTATGATGTCAACTCGAACGAATGAGATCTTGATTTAAGGCATAATGTCGACACTTGTCATTGGGGATTTCAGCCATAAAATTTGTTATCAATCTCGAAAGAGAAGCACATTATCTAATTAAACACATTTGGGGATCTCAGTCTCAAGCATGATATCAATCCAAATAAACTAAAATAATGCTTCATGTCTTACACTAGGATTTTATGATTAATAAGAAACACAATCTTGTATTACAAGGGAGTTCCCAAGAAAATATCTTCTATAATTTCTTCCGGCTTATGTTTTCTTTGAACTTGGATTTTTCGTTGGGCTTGTATGTTAACTTGTAAGGGAGGGTGAGTAGCAACTGAAATCGACTCCTATTAGCTTTCATTTGATGGCCCCTCTTTCAACTAGGATTGTCGATCTAATTGTAATAGAGAATGAGGAGCAACTGAAAACTCTTGTTGGCTTGTATTTTATGACCTCTTTCAGCGGGGATTGATAATATCTTTCATTCAGTTATTATCGACTTATTGGGGAGTGAGGAATGACCATAATCATATCCTACTAGCATAAATTTGTAACTCCACCTATGGAGTTTAAGTGAAAGTCTTCTCTTTTGATCTTTATCTTCACTCTTAGATCAGTTGAGAAAACTTGATGAATCAAGAGTGCTTGACTTTCTTAAGTTGAATAGACTTATGTTTTTGTTGCCATTAGACTGACAAACGTGGCTCTTCACTACCATCTTGGTTGGTAGTGAAAGAAAAATGCCAGAAACTCGGCCACATCTTGGCTTGATGAGTTTGACCTCATCTTAGTCCTAGACTTTAGTAGTAAATAGTCTTGTAATTTGTCACCATCAGACTAACAAACAAGGCTCTTCACGACTGGCGTGGCTGGTAGCAAAGAGAAAAGCTAGTAACTCAATTACCTTTTGATTTGTTGAATCTGACCTCCATCTAAGTCCTTGACTTTAGCAATAAATAATCTTGTGTTTTGTCATCGTCAAACTGACAAATGGGGCTCTTCACTATGGGCTTAGCTAGTAGTAAAGAGAAAAAACCAATAATTCAGCTACCTCTTTGTTTGATAAGTTTGCCCTCTGTCTGAGATCTAAATTTTAACAGTAAATAGTCTTGTGCTTTATCATCTTCAGACTGACAAACACGACTCCCCACTACAGCTTTGGTTGGTAGTGAAGAGAAAAAACAACAACTCAGCCACATCTTGGCTTAAGGAGTTTGGCCTCTGTTTGAGTCCTAGACGTGAGCTGAACAGAAAACATACTTCTCCAACTTAACTATCGAGGCTTGTAGATTTCCTCACTTGACATAAATCTTAGTGAGTTTTGAAGATATACCTCTGACTTTTAGAATCATCTTATATATCTTATTTTAAACTTATTCTTTTTGGATTATCAAATTTAATACAACTTTATCATTGACAATTTGAACATCCTCTTAGGGATCTCAACATACAACATGTTGTCACCCAAGTTACTTGAGGATATCAACTATGAGTATTATACAACTCAAATGGAGAAAGGACTTAGTATCAAACATGATATAAACTCTTTTAGCCTAAGCATCTCGACCTTGAGCCTGACATTTTCACGAAAAGGATAAGCCCTTTATCTAATAAGAAAGGGTTTTCATTGTCTTGCAGAGGAAAACTTTATGATAACTTGTAAATGCATTCTTGTATCAAAAGAGAATTTCCAATCTAGTGTTACACTGGGGCTGGGATAAAACATATATTCTCCTTTCCCTAGAGGAAACTAGGGTGCTCTGTTTAATGCCTCTTCAAATATCAATGGTTGTTTGATGATATTAATCGCTGACTATATTTGTTGACGAGTTGGAAGACTCCATCATATAAATATTCTCGGTGACAGCAGACCTTTTAAGTCAGGTTCAAAATATTTGCCAACTTTAGTTTTAATGATCCCTCTACAAAACCTTTGCTATATCTACTCAAATTCAATAATCCTCTCATCAGCAAAGATTAAAGTTTTATCTTTAATTAATTACACTAGAAGCAGAGGAAGGAGATAAGGAAATCGATTCAGAGCCATTGAAGCGAAAAGGAAAGCAAGGCTTTCTTTTGGAAGCAAGGCTTTCTTTTGTGCCCTCCTTTTGACTTCTATTTTTTTTCAATATATGAGTGGGCTTAATGTCATGCTCCGCCTTCCTCTACAAATTGGCAAGGCGAGCATGAGATGAAAGATTCTAGAGAAGATCGGATCGTAAAGAACAATTCAAAGAATTCTAAAAGATTTCACCAAATTCTAGAAAATATGAGAAGGAAATGCTCCAAGGAGAACTCAAGAATAATCTAAAAAATTCTATTGTTCTGTATGTATATATGAATACTAGAGAACTCTCTAGAAACTAGGTTATTCTCATGTAATCTAGAAGTTTCCCTTGAGCTTGGAGGAGGCTATAAATAGAAGTCATTTCCCTCATTTGTGGCCATCCAAGAAAACATTCCATGCTTCCAAACATTCAGATGTTGTAACCATTATTTCTTAGTGAGGTGTTTCTTTCTCCAATACTTCTACATATTCTTCTTCCAAGAGTGTTTTGTGCTTATAAGTCTAAGTATTGTGATGATTAAACTAATTTAGTGCCAAGGAAGAGCGCTAAAGTCGCACTGGTGACTTGAGATAAACTAATTCGTGAAACTAGGCTATATTTGAACTCCAAAATAAGGAGGTAACACTTAATAATTAACTAACTAATTAATTAATTAATTTTATTTCATTTTTAACAGAGAACACCAACCATTGCATTTTTTAAAAGACTAAAAAAGAGCATATCATTCGCCGAATGCCTAATTCCATAACCACAAGCTACATTTCCGAATAATACAAAACCATTAGCTCCCCCACAACATCAGTTTGAACACAAATTTATTTATATAATAGATAGAAAAAAGCTTAAACGAATAATATGTTTGAACAAAAGAAACCACTGAATCCAAAGAACGAGGAAACAAACGCCAATGAATGACATTATTTCTTTATCAACATTAACAAGACTTGATTTTTTTCTCATAACCACATCAAACAAGACATATCACGTATTACACATATAGATCAGACCAAGCTTAGGATTCAATAGATACAGGCCAAATCCAAGCAATATAGACATGAAGCTCGTAGCTATTATTATAGCAAACAATGAATCAGATTTCCCTAAACCCGGGATTTTCTAATGCTCCCGCCAAGAAGGGACAACAAACCACCACCATGCACCCTACCCTCAGGAATCACAAACCCAGATTTTTCTTGGCTGGTAACAGTCTCCGTTGGCGATGGCAACGCCCTTGACAAGTTCAGCTCAACTGGAACAGAAGCCTGTGCAGGTGGGATGAGGGACTGCCTCTTCCCCATGTTCTCCAGTAACTCATTAGTCTTTCCCGAGTTTTCAGATGATTCAGTGGTGCAGCAATCCGATACCACGCTCGCCCCTGATGATGAATACACCGTTGTTACAGACACGATACCTGATGGCATATCTGCAATTGTTGCTGGAGGTGTGATCATTCTTCCACGCTGGGGGTTGATTCCTTCTCCCCCCGTCTCCAGCCGTTGCGGCCGCAGCAACATTACCATGAGCGGCGCACAGCCCACTCCTTCCCCGAGCAAACTTCTCACATCCTCCACTCCAACAGCAGCGCTTCCCACCACCATGGGCCTTGCAGTAGTTTGTGCTTCCCTGTGCGCTCTTTCCACACCCTTCATAGTGGCACCGCTTACCCCCGCCATGCCTAACACAGCGGTCGGTACGGCCTCTCGCACTCCGGGTGCACCCAGGCACAACACATCGCTTGCCGCCGCCATGTGCCACACAAAAGTTGGTACCACCATGCACACTCTTCGGGCAAACCCCGCCTCCTTCATATGAGCATCGTCGGCCACCACCATGACCCTTACACAGTGGAGTACTGCCTTCAGCCCCTTTGTTGCACCCTTCGAACACGCACCGTCTGCCACCTCCATGGGCCTTGCAGTACATGGTGCTCCCCTGTGCCCCCTTATTGCAGCCTTCAGGGAACTGGCACCGTCGACCGCCACCATGGGAGATGCAAAGTCCAGCCTGACCCTCAGCACTGCGGGTGCAACCAGCAACAGAGCAACGCTTACCCCCACCATGCCGAATGCAAAGCCCAGACTTTCCTCGAGATGCCTTGTTACAGCCCGGCTGCCCACATCGCCGCCCACCTCCATGGGCTATACAGTAGTCAGTCTTCCCTTCTGCAGACTTGGTGCAACCCAGAGAATGGCAGCGTCGTCCCCCTCCATGAGCCTTGCAGTAGGCAGTCCTGCACTCAGCACCCTTATTGCAGCCAGGTTTCTGGCATCTCTGACCTCCACCATGGGCAATGCAGAGCCCTGAAGCCCCACGGGCACCTTTAGAGCATCCAAAATATTTACACTTCTTTGGTGGGTGACGCTGGCTAGATGGAAAGAGGCCAGAATTTGTCAAAGGAGAACAATCACTGGTCGCAGAGGGCTCTGGGCTAGGCTCGAACTGTATCTCCTGAATGCCCTTACTACTACAGCAAAGGCTTTCAGACACAGGCGCAAACAATACAGATGACAAGTACCCTCCTGGTTTCATTGCTGAAGTTGAGCTTTCATCATCAATGGTAAGAGAGAGGCTTTTCCCGTTACTGTCTAACTGCATTTGTGCGGACTGGATTGATAACATTGGAAGTGCAGGTTCGGTATAACCCCCAGCAAGACCAAGCTGCAAAATTTCAGGATCAGTTCCACAGATTAGCATTTGGCCGAACAGAGATGCAGATTTTTTAGGCTTCCCAAGCCTAGCTTTGTGACAAGCACAATAGGCAGAGGAGGTTGGACCTATTCCAAGGGCCAACCTACAACAATCATCTTGACCCGCAAATTCAAATTTGCTCGGAGAAGATTCTGCTTTTGTGGTTTTTTCAATTCCATAGCTTGGATCATCACCCAAATTCTCGTTTTTCCACCACGTAGACATACGAACTGCATCCGTGTTTGAAGAACTCATCAGATGAGTCTTTCTTGGTAAGATACCGAGGTCCATCTTATTAGTTATGAGAAAAGAGTGAGAATGCGTGAGATAGTTTTCTAGTAGATATTTTCTTAATTCCTGTGACTGTTTTCAAGTAAATTTTTTTCTTCATACAAGGGGATTATGTTTCGGAGCCAAGTACAGGTGACGATAATAAGATAATAGTTTATAGCATCCCCCGCTTACAAAACCTGAGGTATCCGCTCGATCCATAATAAAGGGGAAATATTGAGATCAAAAGCCTACAAGGTTTTGAGCATATTTTATCACACTTCTAGGATAGAAACCAAGTGAAAGAAAAGATAGAAATCTCAGGACTAAAACTGCGGAGAAGCCAGGGAGTTCCTCAATTTTAGAGTAGTTAGGCGTCATTAACCCTGAAAGGAGGACAGCAATGCACCAGGTCGTTAGGACAAGACTAAAAAGAAAAAGGAAAAACAGATTATGTATAGAAAAAACTTAATAATTTGTAAATAATGAATCGAAACATCAATTGAATGTCAAATGCAAGTTCAAATATTTAAATGATTCACCCAAACAGTATAAAATCTTCACCTTTCTGAAGATTCTCACTAGGTTCCACATCTTGTTGGTAAAAGAAAATTTATTTTAGCTTTATGTGATGAAGATCCACAATGTAAGTGAATTTTATGCAGAAGCAATTAGAGAAAAAAATATAGAAAGCAAAAAAAAGAGATTCATACAACTTTAATTGATTTTAAGATAGCGTATCATTTAAAAAAAAAGCGTATCATTTACTGCAATATGTCAAAAAAAATTGTTACATGATTTTAGTTAAACGCCATGAAGATCAACAATGTAGGCAATTTTTATGCTAGAGCAATTAGTAAAGAAATATAAAAATTAAAGAAAATAACTTTAACTGATTTTTATTGATTTTGAGAAGATACAATTAGATACTGCGATAATTAATATGGTTCACGCATCAAAATAATCTCACATGTATATTGAAATTATAAAAGATACATAATCTCACATGTGAAACATTGACTAACACTAAAAATATTTGTAGGATGACCAAGACAGTCCCATTTCCAATAGGCGTATGGCATAAAATAGAATCTTAAAATGAAAGTGGTAAAATTAGAATAACATACTGATGAATCAATATATTAAAGGGAATAGAGCCAGTAAACAGTAACATCCATTAAATATAAGGTAATAAAAAAATTAGACTCGCGTGATGTGATCATGTCTAACAAAAGGTGGAGTGTGCATCAGTAAGAGTGGAAAAAAAAATATACAAAGATTAAGAAAAAATAAGTGACAACCTGGATAAAATTTATGTAAAAAATTGCATAAAATAAATTAAATTATTATTATAGAAGGAAAGAGCAACATCAATTGAACAACATCTGTTGAAAATAATGTAATAAAAAAATAAACACAATTCAATCAGGTACAATAAAGGGTAGAAGATGCACATATAAAATGGGTCGAGAAAAATAATTCCAAAGGTTTAAGAAAGAATGAAATTGAATGCAACTTGGATAAAATTTATGTAAGAAAATCTTCTCAAAATAAGTTTTAACATCTCATATAACATAACGATGATGAGTTGAAATGAAAATTTCATAAAACCGATCACAAATAGTTGAAACTTAAGAAAAAGTTAATCATAATGAAATAAAGCTAATCATAGATTAGAGAGTCCTGTTTAGATGGTTTGGTCATATTAAGCATTGACCATGTGATAATCCGGTTAGAAGAGTAGATACTTTAGGTTTGACTTACATTAAGAAAGATAAAGATAAACCTAAAAAACTTGGGCATATTCAATAAAAAATGACCTTGATTTATTAGAATTAAATGAAAATCTAACACTCGATAGGACACAATAGAGAAAAAGGATTCATGTAGTCGACCCCACTTAGTGGAATAAAGGCTTGTTGTCGTTGTTTTACAATGAAGATTAATGATGTTGGCAATGATCAACATATATTATAAAATGACAAAGTGATAAATGGGTGTAGGAGGTTTACATATTTTAAATCTATTATGCAAAATACATACATAAATGAGAATACAACTTTTAAAATAAAAGATTTCATATTAGTATTTAAAATTAAAAGGCGCCATTGAAGAACTATATCATAAAAAAATATCATAGATATATAGCATATTTTACGATTAAGCTATCCCTGCTGTCTAAATTGAAGTGTTTTGCAATAAAGAAGTTATTAATAGACATTTTGGGCACGACAAAAATGATAATATTAAAATAAATAAGGTGAAGAACCATACAACATGAAAGATTGAGAAATGGACAAAATGGCAATATAATTGAGAAGATGGGAGTAAAGATAATAAAAATAAGTAAGATAATAAAAATAAGTTCAAGAAAATTCCTTTAGGGAGTTTGGGCTTGTGCCATAAATGATAGAAGGCGTACCAATACAAATGATACATAAAACTAATGTCGAGAAATTGAGTAAAATTTGATGTAAAGTTTTTACAATAAGATTTACACTAAAAAACATTAGTATCAGTAAAGAATTAAGACAAAAAAAGCTCACAAAAATAGATACATGGATAATGATCGTCATGATAAAAATAAAATATTTTTTAAAAATGCATGATAAAGGAACAAAACAACAAATGTAAGAACGATGTTACAGCAAGCTTTATCATAATAAAACAACAACAACATAGCCTTAATCCCACTACGTGGGGTCGGCTACATGAATCCTTTTTCTCCATTGCGCCCTATTTAGTGTCATATTTTCATTTAGTTCTAATAAATTAAGATCAATTTTTATACAATAAACCCAAGTCTTCCTAGGTCTACCTCTGCCTTTCTTATAAGTCGAATCTAAAACATCTACTCTCATAATTGGATCATCAGATGGTCGACGCTTAATGTGACCAAATCATCTAAGACGACTTTCTCTAATTTTGTCCATCACAGGAGCTACTTCAACCCTATCACGGACATATTCATTTCGCATTTTGTCTCTAAGTGTAAAGCCACTCATCCACCTAATCATTCTCATCCCGGCAACACTTAACTTAGTATTATGCTTCTCTTTTAAAAACCAACATTCAGCGCCATAGAACATTGCAGGTC